GCTTATTTCCCAAGCGCGTATAAATGCTTATTGGTGTGGTCCCAGCCAAAAATAAGCGCTTTTTCCAAATAAATTATTAAAAATAAACTCTTCCAAATGGGGGTTTATTGGACAAGTGAGATAAAATACTAGTAACTAGACTTTCTCAATGGAAGTAATTGCCCTTGATCTTCCTTCTCTTCACAAGTCTAGTAGTAGTATTGTAAACCCGGTATTTAGTATCTGTCTTTAACTCATTTTGGCATTTAAAAATTTTTCCTCTTATTGTTACCTTTAGATCTGAACAAGGATTCTGTAACATATATGTCAAACAATACTCAATGATTTTCCTCCTAAAGCTCTTTTGTTTCTAATATAATAAAGCATTCATGAGTTTTTTTAACACCTTATCCACACTTTGGTTAATTTTGATACCAAACACAACAAGGGATTCAAGTAGAGATTTGAGTATGATATCAGACCAGAAAAACAGGAACCAGTTAGGTGATCGGTTGCGTTTCTTGACAAAACCAAAATTTGGCCAAAAAACGTTAATTTGGTCAGCAAATCGTTGACTCGGGCAGTTGAACCGTTTAACAGTTTTAACCATTTTTTTTATTTTTAATTTTTTGTCAAAACGGGTTGACCATTCGACCTGGGAAAGGGATTCAAGTAGAGATTTGAGTATGATATCTATTTGCATAAATTCATCATTCTCCACTCTTGGTAGGTGTTCCAATCCAACCACTATCATTCATTCACTCAAGTATCTTTCTCCACCATATATTTATGCATGGTTTTCAAAATCGGACCGGAAAAACAGGAACCGGTTAGGTGATCGGTTGCGTTTCTTGACAAAACCAGATTTGGCTAAAAAACGTTGATTTGGTCAGCAAATCGTTCACCTGGGCGGTTGAATCGTTTGAACCGTTCAACGGTTTTGACCATTTTTTTTTATTTTTTAGTTTTTTGTTAGAACGGGCCGACCATTCGACCCGAGAAAGGGATTCAAGTAGAGATTTGAGTATAATATCTATTTGCATAAATTTTTCATTCTCCACTCTTGGTAGGTGTTCCAATCCAACCACTATCATTCATTCACTCAAGTATTCCACCATATATTTATGCATGGTTTTCAAAATCGGACCGGAAAAACAGGAACCGGTTAGGTGACCAGTTGTATTTCTTCATAAAACTAGATTTTGGCCAAAATCGTTGACCCAGACGGTTGAATCGTTTGAACCGTTCAACGGTTTTGACCATTTTTTTATTTTTTTTAGTTTTTTTAGTTTTTTGTCAAAACGGACTGACCATTCGACCCGGGAACGAAACCCCTGACTGGATCATTCTCCGGGTTGGTTTTAAAAACCTTGTATTTATGAGTTAAGTGAATGCTAACCATATAACCATAAATGTCGATCCTCCAAGGTCTCATTTAGATTTCAATGGGGAATCTTCAAAAGTGTCGAGGCCACAATGCCAAGTATAAGATCTTCCTACCAAGAATTCTTAGTTAATATTAAAGCTATGTTTTCAGTCTATATTATTAGGCATATTCAATTTATTCTTAAGTATATAAGCAAGTGAGTTGATTGATGCATCTATAAAACAAAAATTGTCAATGCATCCAAATTCAAATGAATCATTTGTATTGGTCTTCTGAGATCACCATCCTTACTAATAGAGCTTCTTCCTTGGGGAGTTGACCCCATTAATCTTGATCAAGTGGATTAGTAAATAATACTCCTCATTAGTCATTATGAAGAACTTGTTAAATCCTCATCTCATATATGGTAATCACTAAATTGCCATTTTATGATTCTCAAAATCCTTTTACCTCTACTAGGATTTATGGTTTTTAAAACCGGACCGGATTGGACGGTTGGATTGGAAAAACTGGGAATCAGTCCATTTTTTCTTAAAACCAGATTTTTATCAAAAACCGTTAATTTTGGTTAGGAAACCGTTGATTCGGATAGTTAACTATTCAAACAGTTTTGACCATTTTTTATTTTTAATTTTTTTTGTCAGAACAGGCCGATCGTTCGGTTCAAACAATTGGACCATTTAACCCAGAAATCAGACCCCTGATTGGTTCGTTCTCCGAGTCGATTTTAAAAACCTTGCTTGGATCAAGCTTGAAGCATTGGGTCATCATGACCCCATTTCTGAGATGGTTTTTCCTCCCGCACCTGTGTGTGCAAGCTTCCCTCTCACATTTCCAAATGCCACTTTCTTTCTTATATATGTGAGTCCACTCTTAGCTCTCTTGCTATCGGAGTCTACTAGCTTAGAAGGCAATGGGTGAAAAACACTGTAACTGGATTGATGATGTATCTGTTTCAAGGTGTTTTTCCTCCATTATAGTATGTGTCTCAACTGGTGGATGAATGCTTGAAGTCAAGAGATGTAGGATCGATCACCAAGGGTTGGGTCTCAATGAGTTTGGCATTGACCATGGTTTTTGGACCACCGTTGACCTAGACGGTTGGATCGTTTGGCCCGGGAACCATCCAGGCAACTGGTTCCATTTTACCCCAAACCTGGTCCTGGCCAAAAACTGTTGAATCGGTCAATAACCCATTGGCTTGGATGGTTGAATCGTCGATCCGTTCAATTTTTTTGGCTGCTTTTTTATTTATTTTTTGTCAGAACAGACCATCCATTCGAACCGGACGATCAAACCATCAACCCAAAAACCGATAGTTAGAATGATTCCATTTCGAGTCATTTTTTAAAACCATGGACGACTACTTGGTCATTATTGGGCGATACATTTTACTTGTTTTCTTCTAATAATAATGTTATTTTGGTCAAAAACACAGATAATGGAGAACGATGCTATTATTACAAATTTACAATTGTTGTTTGTGATTGTGGCGACCTGATTTCTAGTGTCCATACTCCAACAAATTTTCCTTTTTTGGTAGTTCAACTTTTTTGTGTAATGATGTATCTAATGGTGTAATTTGAACCCTTAGTTTAGACTCTTTAGACATGTTTAGTCAAAATTTTAATAAACAGAATAAAACACTTGTTTGTATAATATCATTTCCCTCTATCAAAGTGATTTGTACTCAATTGTCAAATTAATAATAACATTTTATTGCCCATGAGATATTTCATATATACTATCAAGAAAACAAAAGGGATTTCAGGCATCATGGCATGTAAAATTGATATGGAAAAGGAATTTATAGAAAATATTATTAAAATTAAAGTTTGATCTTCACGGGAAATGGGTGCCTCTCTAAAGAATTTAAGCCTGCTAGAAGATCAGACAAGGCGATCCACTCTCTTATATTTTGTGCTTTGTGTTGAAGCTCTCGCTAAGAAAAAGAAACCAAGATTTCCATTGGGTGTAAAATTTCTAAGGGTGGTTCCACTATTCTCATTCTACAATTTGCAGATAATTGCCTCATATTTACTAATACTACCATCCTTGTGTGTCTCAAAATCAATTTGCAGATAATCAATTTAATCAATGACATTCCTAGTAAGAATTAAATCAATTTTTATTCCCTAAAACATCGGTGAGGACAAAATGATTTAGGGACCTAAACAAAATTGGAGAACATTTGGTCAAGTCAACCTATGTTGTGAAATGCAATTCAGCTTTGGATGGTGGGAAATCTTTAGACTAGTTCTCTAGGGTTTGGAGACTCAAGGCTTTTTACCCAAAGAGAGAGAGAGAGAGAGAGAGACTCAAGTGCCCCCCCTCATCTTAGAAAAAGAGGCTATAACATTGATACTTTCCTATGGAAGTTGTGATTTTGCTAAACAAATTTGAACTATTACTATTCACCCTTGTCTCAACGGCCCCAGTGAGAATGACTAATCTTTAATCGATCGAACGAGGATGAGTGCTAATGCTGATTGTAAAATAGGGCATATTTTAGAAAAACTTGCTTTCATCTTGTGGTTAATTTGAATATGAAAGGCTTTTATCAATATCATCCTTCAGAGTGCCTTAAACCTGTTTATGGAAAACTTGGAATGTTTTAAGAACATTACAAATGATATGCATGATAAAATGCGAAAGCTCATCTTGTCGAAATACCCTAAAGGTGGGTTTATCAAAATAAATTTTGATGCTTCTCATAATAGATGCGAGATTGATTGTTCATATAAATCTAGCTGAGGCATAAGATGCTTATTGGGAAGCCCATACTCGGTTGCTAGCATTGCAAGAGATCATTTAGGCAATGTGCTTGCTATCAAAACTTGCGAGATTGATTGCTCATATAAATCTAGCTGAGGCATAAGATGCTTATTGGGAAGCCCATAATCTAGTGATGAACTTCAACGACTACCCCATCATCATGAAGGTGATTCGAAGCTTGTCATCTCTTCTCTTTTCTATGTCATTGATTCTCCTTGAGATTGAAGAATATCACTTTTCCAACAGCTTGGAGCTTAGGGATCTGTTCAAAAAAGGTGTTGCCTATCATCACGTATATCATGGAGCAAATCAAGCAACAAACTATAGTAGGAGTATTCATTATACGGTTCAAATCATAAAACCAAACCAAATTTGTGGTTTGGATTGATTTACACCTAAAGCGGTTTGATTCGGTTTGATAGTTCTCTAAATTATAATTTACAGTTTTGGTTTGGTTTATTAGATTTCATAAATCAAAACGTAAATCGTAAATCGTAAACCGATAATGTAAATGTATAAATGCAATATGAATGTATCATGTATAGATATTTAAATTGAATGCATAAGATTATAAGTCTAATAAAATAAAAATTTTAAGTTTTAATTTTTAGAGAAACTATTTCGACTTTCTAATTGGATTAAGCCCAATAAAATCAGAATGGTTCGAATCCCCAAACCATATTAGAAACCGCACCGAACCATAACAAAACGGTTTGGTCTGATATGGTTTCCATACCAAAATGGTTTTGGGCCTTTGGGCATTGGGTGAATTTACGTGGAAGGTGGGGTAAAATCGTAAATGTGTAACCCCGCCCCCATGGAGACAAAAAGAGGTTTCAGTGACGGAAGGCGTAGGAGCATAAAACCTCGCAAAACCCCTGGTGAGGTGACAGTGAGACATACAGAAGAAAGCACTTACCAAACATTACAAAACGCAGAGAGAGAGAGAGATGAAAAACGCGACCCGTCTGATATGGGCAGGAGCAGCGGCAGCGAGAAAGCTGTGCACGGCGGTGGCAACGGAGGTGAAGCCCCAAAAGGAAAAAGCAGATTCCCTGTACCGTAGATTATCGGCTTTGGGCGCCACGGGGGGGAGCGTATCCCAGGCGGTCAATAAATATGTGAGGGAGGGAAAATCTGTCAAGAAACGCCAGATCGAATCTTGCATCAAGGAACTCCGCAAGTACAAGAGATTCCAGCATGCCCTTGATGTTAGTCTCTCTCTCTCTCACACACACACATCAAAATACAGAATTTGTTAGAAATTGATGATGATTAACATCTTGTTTTTGGTTTGATAGGTATCATATGAAGTGCTTATTAGTTTCAGTTTAATTTTCTTCTCAGAGGGCTTTTTTAATAGTCTGCTCAATTGGCTAGTCTAGCTAAAGAAGCTTCATTAATATTTACCATTGTAGAATGAAAACATTAAAATGTAGACGAAAATGCTGCCAATGCCTAGGACTGTTAAACTATTTTATTTATTTCTTTTAAAATTTGAATTTTTAATAAGAGAAGTTTTTTTTAAGTTCTTTAAGTAAGTTAGTTTGGTATCTTCTCTGGAGGACTTCTATTTCAGCCATAAAGTGGATGGGTTCCTCTAAATTAGACATTTCCTTAGGTAGTGTGTTTAACTTGTTACCGAGTGATCATAAGCTTTATAGTTTCAATTTTCTATGGTTCAAAGGTTTTCCTGAAATAAAGGCTTTGTTTTTCCAGTAAACACCGGCTTTTGGTTTGTTGCTTTAAGTGAATATACGCTCGCATGGGCAAAGCATAATACCCGTTTTAAATAAAGTGGGTTGATCTTTTTAATGAATAATTACTAAACTATTTATTCTTTAGAAAAAGCATTTGGATTTAGTTTGGACCCAAGTCGGAAGGAGATTCCTTCAGGGGAAGATTCTTGCACTAGTACATGGGCTGAGAATTGCATTTGCATTAGGTTAGGAAGGAATTCTAGAAGGAGACTAACAAACTATGATCAGATGGATGCAATCTCAAGTAGAAGGTCCTTGGTGCTTGAGACACAGTATATGAGAGGCTACATCTTTGTAAGCTGGTTTTTTTTCCTGGTTAGAACTCTCTCTGCCAGGAAATTGTTGAACTCTATTTTCTTTTTTCTTTTAACAAACTCTTTACCTTACCTTTCAAAAGAAATGCTAACAGATAAAAGATGGCTTGCCTCACCAAGGAATTACCAGGCAGAAATTCCATTAGGGTATTACCATATGGGGGTGGAATAATTGTAATATAATCTCAAATGTATGTCCAGCATGTCATTGCCATGACTTAATGTTTTCTACTCTTATCTTAAAGTCTAGGATAAGTGGAAGTTTTGTTAGTTTATGTACTATTGCACTCTTAATAAGATCCATGTTTCTGTTTTAAGACAGAGATTGCTCTACGTGTTTTTCTAAAGTGCATCTCTTGCTTACACCAGAGTTGGAGTATTTATGGGCATCCAATGCTCTGTTCATATAGCATACAAAATAAAACACCCCATTGGTAGTTTGGTATCACACATTACTTATGCTAGGTTTTCTGTTTGATTACTGTTCTTGGGGACCAGTGCTTATTATGCCAAAGGGAAGCTTCTCTCTATCCCCTTTGACTAGATAAGTTAGGCTGTAGGGCTTCTCTCTATCACACATTACTTATGCTAGGTTTTCTTACTCAGAAGATTTAGCTTCACAAAGGCTTAAATCCTTTTGTTCTGCCAGCAATGTTAGGGCTGCCTAGAGCACATCATTGTTGGGCCTTTCATGAGCATTATACTAAAACTTCTGGATACTTGATTGACTATTTAACATTCACTAATCATCATGTGGAGACCCTCATCTGCATATTATTTATGCTCTTCTGCCTTCTACCTTGTTTATTTATTCTATGTCTTTGGCTCTATGTTATTTTCCACTATTCTGAATTCTACAAAATGGATATTGAATTTCTACTTTTGCACAGATTTTTTTCACCTATTTACTTGTATCACTTACGCAGCTAATGGAGTGGATGGAGAAGAGGGATACTGTTCTATCCTACAGTGACTATGCTGTTCGTCTCGATCTTTTGTCAAAGACTAGGGGTATAGATTCTGCAGAAGAGTACTTCAACAGCCTTTCTGAACCTGCAAAGAACCGATTAACCTATGGAGCTTTGCTGAACTGTTATTGCAAGGAAAAAATGAAAGATAAAGCTCTAGCTCTGTTTGAGAAGATGAGTGAATTGGGTTTCAGTTCAACTTTGGCCTATAACAATCTAATGACCTTGTACATGAGACTGGGCAAACCAGCGGAGGTTCCCCTCTTATTACAAGCAATGAAGGAGAAAAACATCTCACCAGATAATTTTACTTATGATGTATTAATTGCTAGCTATGCTTCTACAAAAGATTTTGCAGAAATGGAGAGAGTTCTAGCAGAGGTAGAAAGAGAGATTGGTGACAATGTCAATTGGAACACATATAGTAATGTGGCTGTTGCTTATGTTGAGGCTGGTTTGTTTGAGAAGGCTGAGTTAGCTCTTAAACAATTGGAGAAACAGATGAAGCCCCGTGATCGCATGGCATACCACTTTCTAATTAGCTTGTATGCAGGTATGTCTAATTTGTCAGAGGTTAATCGGGTTTGGGCTTCCTTAAAATTAGCACTTCCGAAGACTACCAACTTGAGCTATCTTGTCATGCTTCAGGCTCTTGCTAGGCTTGATGATTTTGATGGCATCAAAACATGCTTCAAGGAATGGGAGGCAAGTTGCTCAAGCTATGATATGAGGTTGGCTAATGTTTACATAAGTACTTGCCTCAGACGGGATATGTTAGAAGAAGCAGAATCAGTTTGTAACGGTGCCATTCAGAGAGGTTCAGCACCCAACTTCAGGACATCGGAGATGTTCATGGATTTCTTCTTGAAAGCCCGCAATGGTGATTTGGCTCTGAAGCACATGGAAGCGGCTGTCTCTAAAGTTAAGAATAATGAATGGCAACCAACTCAGGAAAGGGTGGAAACATTCTTGAAGTATTTTGAGGAAGAGAGAAATGTTGAAGGTGCTGAAAAATTCTGCAAGATGCTGAAGGAAGTTAATTGTCTCAATTCCGAAGTATACCATTTATTGCTTAGAACGTACGTAGCTGCTGGGAGAAGAGATCCTGCATTGCCTAAAAGGATGGAAGACGATAAGATTGAGATGACTGATGAGATAAAAAATCTGCTTGAGGTGATTTGCCAGGAATAGATTGTTTAATGAAGAGTACGAGCAGCCATAGTAGGATATGAAAAAAAACTCACTTTTAAAGGAAATTCTGCTTTTTAGACGGTGTACGCATTAAATCCATGTATCCGTGCCATGATATTAACAGATCCAAAGAAATTGTCCCTCCAGACTCCAGTGGAACAATGGAAGTGTGTTTCTGAGTTCTGACAGTAAACAAAAGAATGGATGGTTTGCCATTTCAATTTCTAAGTAAATTTAGGCTGTGTTTGGATAGAAATTTATTTGTAATTTTTGAATGCCCAACAACTCCATTCATTGGCAGCAAATCAATACAAACTTTCTCTTAACAAAAACATTCAGAAGCCCGTCAGGTATAACAGACCAAGTGGTTACATGATAAAGACTTAAACCAATTTTAGCATATTTATGAGCCAGGCGATTGCCATTGCGACCAACAGAAATTTATTATTATCTACTGGTAAAGATCATTGCCTTTACTAGATTTCAATTTTATTTTTCATTTTCATCCGAAGCAAAGGGAACAGAGGTATATCTGGTTGTAGCTCCGTTGAGCCACATGGCGCAATTCAATTGAGTTGTCTGCTAGGCATTTCACTACAATAATTTGACTTCTTAAGAGTTAAGATCACAAATATCTGAGTTTGTTATTGAAGACCCTAATTTGCCATCCAGAGTTAAGATCACAAAACTGTCTGTTTATATCATCTCCATCAAAGATACAAATAGGCTTTAGAAGACCTAGCCAATAAACTGACAGATGGGTTTGGGCAAGGAAAAAAGACAAAAAAGTTAGAAGACCAGAAAATTAAGACCAACTTAAAAGCTAGTTAATTAAATAGAACGAGTGGATAACTAGATGAGATGAAAGCACCATGCATACGGTTGGGGCCGCAAGGCTTAGTTCAGTTGAGTTCCTCTCATTCTCTACTGTTTTCCTCTGCTTTCTCCACATTACAATGCATTACTTTGTTTTCTCTACATATAGAATGAGAAAAAAATAACAAAGGATTCATGCTTGCCTGTCTGAATTCTACGGACCTTTTCCTCCATCTTTGGGATTAGCTGAGGAGGCTGATTTAAGATGGTTTGACTGAAGGATCAGTTCACATCCAAGGAGATAACTCATGGACTTCTTAAAAAATACAAATTGATATTTCAGTTCAGCAGCACTAATGAGTTGCACAACTACAGGAAGCAAAGTAAAAAAAAAAAAAAGCAGGAAGAAAGAAAAAAAAGTCAACTACTACATATAAAATCAATAGAAAACTGTTTCTACAGTTCATTGTTATTAAGAAAGAAGACGTGCATGCCCTGCAAAATTTTTTAAGAATAGCAAAACGTCTGACTAGCAAATTCTTATACATAGTCTAAGGATGCAACTTTCACTTTAAAATCATCCCTGTTACATGGGAGATACTCCACTGCCATTGTTAAATGCCTTTCTGCAGATGGCTGAGTTGCCTAACAGAAACTAACACAGTTTACTGTGTCGGGCTATTTCTAATCTTGATCAAAGTACAACCAAACATCAAGTGTAGGTTTGCACAGTGTGTTGGTCCGACTGTAAGACTCTCAAATTCCACCTGTTCCTTGCAGGACTTCATTAATCCTAATGTTCAGACAACCATTTCCATAATACCAGTTACTTAAGCTGGCACCAATTCCCTACTTTGGGCAGACCTTTTCAAGTAACTTATTGATGTCAGAATTCATCTCAATCCCATCAGCTGACATCCTCTTTCGCATCTCAGGATCTGTTTTGCCAATAGCAATATATGTACGAAGCAGGGAACTATAGGCTTCAGAATTGAGACATCGTAACTTTTTCAAGCTATCACATAACTCCTCTGCACCACCAACATCATTTTTGCTCTCAAAGTACTTCAGGAACACACTTACCGTTTCTTGGCTTGGCTGCCACTTATTTCGTTCAACTTTTGCTTTAGAAGCAGCAGTTTTCAAATAATCCAAAGCCAAATCCATTTGCTGTTTCATCAAGTGGTAGTTCATGAACATCTCTAGTGTTCTAAAGTTAGGTTTGGCACCCTTTTGCACTGCACTTTCACAAAGCAGCTCAGCTTCTTTGATCATGAATTGACTGAGGTAAGAATCAATAAGGATGTTTGCCAACCTGATGTCATAGGTCGAGCAAACCGATTCCCATTCCTTAAAACACTCATTTGCAGTATCTCTATAACCCATTGTGCATAGAGCCTTAAGCATGACGAGATAACTAGCATTGGTAACCTTTGGAAAGGCTGATTTCAAAGACTGCCAAACCCGATTAACACCTTCCAAGTTAGACATACGTGCATATAAGCAAATGAGAACATGAAAAGCCTCCCGATCATGAAGGTTGGCCACTTTCTCAAGCTCTTCAAGAGCTGATTTTGCCTTGTCAAAAAGTCCTGCTTTGACATAAATGGTAGCCAAGTTGGCATGCGTGGCCCAGTCAAATCTTATGCCATTTGTATTCATTTCCTCCACAACCCTCTCAACTCCTTTGATGTTGTGCAAATAGGCATAGCTATTCATCAATAAGTTATAAGTAACAATATCAGGCACTATTTGATTCTTCTTCATTTCTTCTACCAATGGAGCAACCTTCTTAGGATAGCTCATCCTCATGTTTAGGGCCATTAGATTGTTATAGGCTAAAGAAGTAGAAGCAACGCTCAGTTTCTTCATCTTCTCAAAGAGAGACATTGCTTTATCTACCATTTTCTCCTTGCAATAACAATTTAGTAGTGCTCCATAGGTTAGCTTGTTCTTTGCAGACTCCTTGAGACTGTCAAAGTACTTCTCTGCTGAAGCTATCCCCTCAACTTTTGACAGAAGATCTAAACGTATGGCCTGGTCACCATGGGTCAAATCCCTGCCCCTTTTCTCCATCCATTTCAGTAGCTGCATATGAGATGAAAAGAAAATAAGATAAGTACCACCTAAATAACCATTCTTACCGGAAATCAAATAACTTTTAGCTTTGGATTGATCAGAATCATGCTAAATTGTATATTTGTATATTGCAATTTTTCAACTACTTGGCACTATAACTCTACATGGTCAAAATACTTGGTGGACACAGAATTTAAGCTAAAACTTGGCACCATGCTTGGTAAACTACTAGATCATGACATTACTGCAGGGAAAATGATAAAAATAAATAAAAAATAAAACTAGAATGTGTAGTATATACCAATATATGTGACAGCAGACTTCATACAATCTCAATGAGCAATCAACTAAAATAAAATTGAAGCTTTAAGCATATTTACAGTGCATTATTAACATGGATACTTCACGCGTGTGTGTATAGGAAAAGCCTAGAACCTTATCTTTATCTTTGCTCTTAACAATGGTTTCTAGAAAACATAGCTATTTTTATGTACATTAGCTATTCACTTATAAAGGAAAATGTTATTCTGTATTGTCCAAAAATCCATGGTGTCAGAACTCAGAACCCAGCACTTGTCCAGCTTGGACACTTACATCCACTTAGGACAGAGTCCATGCAACATTGTGGTTTGAGCCTGAGAGTGATCACTTAATGCTAAAATAAAATTCTGACAGTTTTCAAGGAGCCAAGGCAAGGCTAGGCGACAACAGGGAGCACCTTGTCACGTAGTTGATTAGGCGGGCACCTAGGCATCACCTAGGCAGTGGATTTTTTTAAGTGAAAATCACATATCCTAAGGTAGTTCCTTAGGTTCAATAGCAACTAGCAACCATATTTCCTTAATAATTATCCATAATTTTCATAAGAGAAGTATAAACTTCATGTTAAGGTATAGAAAATCAACATATTCAAGAGAAGAAAAAGAAGAAATAAAAAAAAAATCAGAAAATATAGAGGTGAGAAGAAAAATAAATAAATAAAAGAAAATTCAGAAAGCTGAACCCCTATTTTTTGTTATAGGAAAAGAAGAAAAGGTGGAAGAAGAAGAAGAAAATTTTAAGTCCTTCCTTACTTATTGGTTCAGGTTTTTAGGTCTTTGAGGGTTGAAGACAGCATTTAGCAATGTGTGTATTGATTAAACCCTAACGATTAAAATAATAATAAAAAGAAACGTGTATATAAACACACAAAATGAATATTTTAGTTTAATAATGTCTGTTTTATAATAATAATCTCAAAAGGAAATAAGAATATAAAAGTATTTCATAAGACCATGTACAAATCTGCTTGGCAATTAGACAAGGCAACCCTCCAAGGGCACCTTGTTGCCTAAGATTTATTATCACATTAAGTAATGGACCCTTTTCAACAAACCAACTTTTCTAATGAAAGCTCCTTAAAATTTCCTAATTTCTTTTGCCAATAAAAGCATATATGTGATATGTTGTACCAAATCTAGAAAAAACAAACTCTGCAAATGTTAGAAGTTCCATTAGAAAGTTGCAAGTAGTTTGTACCAAGAGAGATGCATGGCTAAAAACGTAAATAGCAGGGTATCAGCATATAGGATGGGATACTAATATCCAAATTTAGGTCTTTGATATTGAAAAATGAACAACCATATATGCATTCCTATATGGTTGTTTGTACGTCAACATTTATTTGGTGAAGGCATGAATCATACATTGTGACTTCGTTTTTTGTTTTTGCTTCCATTGGTAAATCGATTCACAAATTCCTAAAAACAGAAAACGTGTTGATTGAATTTAAGTGTCACATATACTAGTATCGACCTGCTACTTATATGGAAGCCATTATTAATCAATCAGGGAAACTTTGAAAAAGAAAATTAACAGAGATTCTGTGTTGACGTTAAAAGTTTAATACCAAGAAGACCCACATATACAGAAACAACAAAGAGTTTCTTGGTATAGAACAAAGTAACAAAGAAAAGGAAGGGACACAAGAGATCAACCTGGAGAGCGTGTTTGTACTTCTTGTACTTGCGGAGCTGATTGACGTAACCGATGATCTCGACCCTCTTAACAGACTTCCCCTCTTTCACCCATTCGTTCAGAGTATCGACCACACTAGCTTCGCTGCCACCCAGAGCGGACAATCGACGGTACAGAGAGCTCTCCTTGTCCTTGCTCGCGGTGACTGTCGCCATTGCCGTTGACAAACCTCTCGACGGAGTTGACGACAAAAACGAGATCGCACGGGTCGCAGTCCTAGCCATTTCTGTACCTTTTCGTCCTCCCTCTCCGGTTCTGATTTGGGTTTCCTGTGATTTAGCTAGGGTTTACTGAGAGACTGAGAGCGAGAGGTGAAATACAAGCGGAAAATGGAAATGAGTCTAGCACTCATGCGTCATGAGTCATGATTCAGTTGGACCAACTGTTGCCCAGCCCAAATGCAAGCCCAAATTCTAGGCCTAAAGCCAGACAATATGGGCCACAAGGCTGCAAGCATACTTCCTGGCCCAATTTATGTCCAAATAGTCCGAGTATGATACCGGAATTCGGAAAAACTCCGGTAATATAGGTGCGCAGCCTTTCACCAATATGAATGGTTTTTGTATTTTTTTTTTAACCCTTAAACACGAACCAACCCATCTAAATTATCTATGCTTCATTAGAGTTAGAAAGGGGTTAAGAGAGATTTAAATGGAAAGAAGTGATTTAATGGCTTATATTGAAAAAAGATAAAGAAAATATATAGATTAACTGATTAAGTATAGCCGTCTTTTATTTAGTAAAAAAGGGTTATAAATGTAAAATAAAATTATATATATATATATATCAACATTAAAAAGAACATAATTTAGTAAAAAAAATAAATATATAAATTAACTATGAAAAATATATAAGGAAATTAAATATATATATATGATTAATTTAAGTAAATTAACTAAATGGATAATTTTATTTAGGTGAATTATTACCATAAAACATATGATTAGTTTTAAGACAAAAATGAATATAAATATAAAAATTGCTATAAAATAAATAAATTGTATCCTTAATGCACAAAATATTACAAATAATTTTAGTATGCATATATTAACTAATTTAGATAAACAAAATTATAAACATAAACTAAAATTAAAATATATATATATATATATATAAGGTTCATATTAAAAAGAATATGTATGTAATAAGAAAATATATAAGTTGGCTATAAAATGACGCCTCAAGGCTTACACCAATACACCTTGTCTCTTCGGCACCCAACGGCCTCGCATCCGCCTTTAGCCTTTTAAAACCTCCAATGGATTTTACCATATCAGTGAGAGAAGATTTTCTAGCTCTTCCCATCATCATAGAGATGATGATCCTAACAAATCACTTCTCCAAAATATTCATGTTGATCGCTATTATTCTCATTGTCACATGCATAAGATGTTCATCCCTTTGCTCTTGGAAGCCAATGCAACAAAAAGGTTCAGATTCATAGGAAGCTATAAGTAGCAGCAAAATTGGGGGGCAACTAGATTCAAGTACAGAGAAGACCATCTACGGCACCAATGAAAAGTGATTTTGTTGCAAGTTGAAGGGTCCAGAAGAGCCACGTGGCAGGCCAAAAAGTGAATGAACTGAAAGATTGACAAATTATTTGAAGGCCCATAATAATAATGGATATGACATTAAACAGAGTGGAATGGCATATTCAGTAACAGCCAAGTTGTTTCTCCACCATTCTTCAATCATCTCTCTACGTCCTAATTATAGGAGTCTAACCATTTGGTCACATATGATTTGCTACTTGAGGATAAATAAGGTTGTTACAAAAAATAAACTCCCCAAATCTTCTCATAAGAGACCTTTCGTTCAAACAAACAGAAAAAGAAACACCAAGACCAAGAGATCAGACAATAAAAACGCAACAAGACTACCACTCTACAAAACCTAAAACTAAAAAAAAAAAACAGGACCTAAAACTAGACAAGAGAACCACTAACATTAGAAGAGTCATATATAATAACATCAACCAACTATTTAGGTTGGAGACCAAACCTCTCCCGATTTAACACCATTGCCACGAGAGGCCAAACAGTGGGCTACCCTGTTTGAATTTCTTAACAAGAGAGAAAACAACATCCTTGTTGACAATCCACAAAAAGATAATAACCTTGCTGAAATTCATCCTTTCTCTGCAACGACCTTATAAGCTCTTTGATATCAGATTCCAAAATGAAGTGATGAATTCAGATCTTCAGCAATTTTAAGGCCTTCAAGCACAGCAAAGGCTTCTGCTAACAAAGCTGTGCAACATTAGCTTGCACCACACTGAGTAGCAATAAAGGCCAAAAAGCTCTCTAGCCACCTTTCATTTTGTTAACTCTTCGTACCACATTAAAATCCATACTGATGAATCAAAGGCAGCTCTATGAACTTTGAATTTCATCTAACTCTTTTTTTTTTTTTTTTTGGATATCTTTTGAAGGGCTACACAATGGGGGGTAGCCCATCCCCCAACCCAAGGTACAGGCAGGATTCGATCCCAAGTCTCCGCTACAACCAACAAGAGACCTTACCAACCAGCTGGTTGGCACATTGCAATTTCATCCAGCTCTTCCCACAAGGCCCTTAGTTGGACAGAACCTAAGGCTCTTTTGGTTTGAAAGAAAAGGTAGGGGAAGGTAGGGAAACCTATAAAACCTTGCATAGGTTGCCCTACCTTCTCTTTCAAACCAAACACAGCCTAAATGTATCTCAAAATCAAGAAAAAGAAGGGAAGCAGATGCAGTTGAATTGTTCAAGGACTGTAGAAACTTGATAACAGAAATAACAACAAGAGGAAGGTAAGATAAAGTGAGAATAAGAGAGGCAGTAAGAGCTAGGGTGGTGATTTAGAAATGGAGAAAAAAAATAAACATCTACAAGAAGCAAATAAGAGTAGTTACAGAATTTCCAACTGATTAATAATCAACCAATAAATGAAATATACCTTCTGTGAAAATCACATGGGCAGGTTGGCTAGAAAGGGATCTTGAAGTTGGAGATGTGGAGGCCCTCAAAAAAACCAATGGAGAAAAAGCACCAGGGCCAGACGGTTTTAATTTTAACTTCATTAAAATCTGCTGATATTTTTTACAAGAGGATTTTATGCAGATATTCAAGGAGTTCTGGGAATCCAAGAAACTAGATAGGAGGGTGAATGTGACCTTCATTTCTTTAATACAGAAGAAAAACGGTGCAGTGAACATAACAGAACTCAGGCCAATTAGTTTGTTGAGTAGCCCTTACAAAATATTGGCAAAAGTACTGGCAGGTAAGCTGAGAAAAGTGATTCAGGAGGTGATGGGGGAGACTCAGATGGCCTTTGTAGAAGGTAGACAGATTCTGGATGGGGTGTTGGTGGCTAGTGAATGTATAGATTCTAGGTTAAGAAGCGGAAGACCAGGTTTGGTTTGTAAGCTAGACATAGAAAAGGCTTATGACCATGTTGAATGGGGATTTTTGGAGGAAATGCAAAGGTTGATGGGGTTTGGGGAGGTTTGGAGGGGTTGAATATATGGGTGCATTTTTTCAGCCTCTTTCTCACCGTTAATTAATGGTGTGTCATCAGAATTTTTTCAAACCTCTAGAGGGTTGAGACAAGGGGATCCACTCTCCCCTTTTCCTGTTTGTCATAGTCATGGAGGCACTTAACTTGATCATAAAGAAAGGACTACAGAAGGGATGGATAGAAGGATTCAAAGTTGGAAATGAAGGCCTGTATACCACTCATCTACAATATGCTGATGATACCCTAATATTCCTAGACGCTTCAGGAACCCAAGTCTTGAATCTAAGAGCTATTTTAGCCAATTTTGAGATGCTGACTGGCCTAAAGGTGAACTTAGAGAAGAGCTTTTTGATAGGAATTGGGGACATAAGAGTTGAGGTAGTGACAATGTATGCAGAGGTGCTGGAATGTAAGGTAGGGGAGCTGCCTTTCATGTATCTTGGGTTGCCGGTGGGAGCAAGGGCATCATCAAGTAGTATATGGAAGCCTTTATTAGAAAGGGTGGAGAGGTTAGACAGATGGAAAGCCAAGTACCTTTCTTTGGGTGGGAGAATCACACTCATCAAGAGTGTTCTCTCAAGCCTACCAACATATTACCTTTCCCTCTTGAAAGTCCCCAAAGAAGTGGCTGCAAAGGTGGAAAAAATTCAGCAGGAATTTCTTTGGGAAGGGGTGGGGGGGACCAAAAAATTCCACCTGGTTAAGTGGGAAAAGGTTTGTAGAGCAAAGGAAGGGGGAGGCTTAGGGCTGAGGAGGGTAAAGCTATTTAATAAAGCTCTGTTGGGGAAATGGCTGTGGAGGTTTGGGCAAGAGGGAGAAAGGGAGGCATTATGGAGAAGGGTGGTGGTAGGGAAATATGGAGTGATGAGATTCGGGTGGGAATCCAAGGAGGTAAGAAGCTCCTAAGGGGTGTGTGTATGGAAGGGAATCATGAGCTTCAATCAAAATTTCAGAACTTTAGTTAAGTTTAAAGTGGAGGAAGGTTTAAGGGTAAGGTTTTGGGAAGATGAGTGCTTGGAGGTGGGAACATTATGTGAGGTGTGTCCTAGACTTTATTAACTGACAGATCAGCAAGTGTCTATTGAGCAGTGCTACGAGTGGAGGGGGTAGAAAGTAGTCTGGAATCCAAAGTTTAGGAGACCTTTATTGGACCAAGAAGTGGAAGACTGCAAAGGACGATTTTCAGTTAAATCCTTTTATAAGGCTCTTTTGAGAGATGGTAAGGATTCAAATCAGATAAAGGGAGTGTGGGGCAATCCTGTTCCCCCAAGAGTAGAGGCTTTTGCATGGTTGGTGGCACATGATAGTATCTTAACTTGCGATCATCTGAAATCCAGAGGCTTGCAGCTTGCAAATTGCAGCTATATGTGCTGCCAAGCAGAGGAAACAGTTCTCCACTTATTCTTCTCATGCTGGCAAACTTTATGTGGAAGTTTTTCTCTCATCTGTTTGGAGTGGCTGCTTTTCATCCAGCAACATCAGCAGAGATTTTTTCCTTGTGGCCTAAAATCAGAGTAAGCAAGAAAGCCAAAATCTTATGGAGCTGTATTCCATTTGCAGTGTGTTGGGTCATATGGAAAGAAAGGAACAGAAGGGTATTTGAAGACAAGACAAAAAACATAGAATATCTGGTAGCAGGAGTGGGCAATATGACTTCTGCCTGGGCCCTAAGTCTTCCAGAGTTTGACCAAGTTCACAAGGAAGATCTGTTAGAGAACTTCTGGAATACTTTTGAATTGAATCCATGTAATTTTGATTCCTTTTCAGTGTAATTCTGTTAAGCAGATGGTTTGTCATCTAGACAACCAGTACTTTGAGGTGTACTGCATTTTTTCAATTTAATGAATTTCCTTCTTATTCTTCAAAAAAATCACATGGGGTCCTTTTTTTGATTGGTAACA